TAACTGAATTCCCAATGAAAAGATGATCCCAACATCTCACCATCCTTCACATTTATTTGAATTCTCCTTCTACATACTATTACTCTTTTACCCCTAACTGATGACTAATATACTAGGTAGTCCCCTCCAGGCTGGATGTGTCATTCCTCTTGCGTAAGTAAATCGAATTGGCAATCTATCATAAAAGTATATTTTTCAGTACTAGGTGCAATTTAATGAGGTAGTCAACCTTTTAGTGACTTAAGAGCTTTATAACCTACTTCTTGAGGAGAGTATAGGAAGTATGTCCTACAGTATTCTCAATAATGTTACGTGTTTGCACACTCGGGCAACCTACCGGGGCCCACAACCAACTAATGCCGAACCACGTGGCACTAAAGTCGAGGTGATTTGCATTTTCGAGACCCACGAACTGAGGTCCACAAAAGTCTAAGCCCATACATACCGAGGCCCATTTATCATTGTCTCTTGAAGAGCATCCGAAGCCCCATATGTCGAGGCCCTTTGAAGGTGGACGAGGCCCTGTTGGCTGAAGCTCTTTAGTTGAGGTAGCAACCTCCGAATCACAAAGCAGCATCTTCCATAGACACTTCTCCCAAGAGATCCTCTGCACAAAGATCTTACTTGAATGATTGATAGGACGTTTGTCATGATTGTGAATGTTAAGTCTTGTCACTAGTAGAGGCGGCTCTGCTAATCAATAAATGTATAGCAGGCTAAGTGCGGCTAATACCTACAATTTGACATGTAAATTGTCCGGATGAGGCCACGTGTACCCCGAACCAAGGGTTAGGATCTAACTTGTGACACTACAAATACTCCCCCACGTACCCCATACAAAGGCTAATGCAAGAATCAATACAAGGAACAGCACTTTACTTAACTCTCTCTTATTATCTTGCAACATGATACGGGTTTACACATTTTTACATATACATTTACAAACATCGATTGGTAATTATGGTACAATCGATCTACAAACATCCCGCTATATTCCGAACGCTCTCGTCTCGCGTCGTTGAGCTACTCCCACGCCATTGATCTGTCCGTTTTAGATCGTCCACGTGTCTTAGTGTGTTGGACTTTCGCTTACGTGTGCGCGGGTGGATCCGGTATCTGTTGGCAACATATTCTAGTGTCAACAGATTGGCGCCGTCTGTGGGAAACCATACAATAACCACGAACAACCTTGTGGTGAAAGCTTATTGAAGAGGAACATTTAAGCACCCCCTTGAAAAATGATTTGTTCTTGAAAAAGAACAAGAAGAAGCCCGACAACTTAGCAAAAATCTGAAGGTCAAACATAGAAGAGTTCAAACGAAGATACGCCCCCATAAGGGTAAGAGAAAACGCAGGTGTGCCCCTTCCAGCGGCTGCCCTAGCAACTCGGCACCGACTCTACCACGTCCATACGCCCCCAAGGGCACTACCAGCAAGAAGATGAAGTTCAAAGTCAGAGAGTTGCCTCGTCAGACTATAGCCTAGGTAGAAGTCCATTTGAAAGGGAAGTGGAAGTTGATGTTTCTTCCAACTACGCTTCTAGGCGACTCACCGAGGTTCCTTTGAACCATGATAACTTCCCACCTTCATATGAGCAAGAGCAAAGACATAGGAGGTCAGGTAGTGTATTTGACAGAACCAGCCCTGCAAAACTGAAACCCAGGCAACAACAGCCTCGCGAGCCTTGGACAAGGCCACAGCCCCAACGTCCCATACCTCAGCAGTCGGAAGAAAGACATGAAAATGTCCCCCGTGCTGCACCGCCTAGAAATAGGCGCCAAAGGAGGGAAGAGGAGGTTAGGAACTGTCCCCGAGCCTCTCACCAACCACCAAGGTATGAGGCCAAAGAAAACGATTCAGATGAGTAGCAGAGAACCTATGACTTGGATGATGATGATGAGAACCTGCCATTCTCAAGGAAACTAAGGAGCGCTCAGGTCCCGAATCACTATGTTATGCCCAAGATACCAAAGTATGACGGAAGAGACGACCCTGAAAAACACCTGAACGCTTACAAAACTCACATGAGTCTAAGGGGAACCACTCTATCTTTGAAATGCAGAGCTTTCCACTTAACACTTAGCGGAGTAGCTGAAATTTGGTATAGTAGGTTACCACTTGGGAGTATAAGAAGTTGGCCCGAATTCAAGACCACCTTCTTGAAGAGGTTCTCTGTGAGCAAAGAGAGAGAGGCTCCCATCCAACGTCTCCAAGACATGAGACAGACATATGGGGAATCCCTGAAGATTTTCTTATCACGCTTTACTGATGAGATGATGTACTGTGTGCAAGTCACCGATCGTGAGGCGTTGTCTGCACTGAGAGGAGACCTGAACATGAGCAACCTGTTTCGGAGGGACGTGCAAAATCAAGACCCCACCCGCTATGACGCCCTGCTCGAGATGATGAGACGGGAGACATCAATGAAGAATTGATTGAGTATAGGAACATGGCAAGTAGAGGCATCCCATCTCCGCAAAGGTAGCGTGCTAGAGGGCCGACATCTCACTTGATGGATTACCAAATGAACCAAGTCAACAATGAGAGTTCTGGGCAAGCACTTGCCACACCACTCTGAACGCAGTCTCGACCTTGGTATATGAATATATCAACTCAATCACCGACACCCAGTAGATGGGAACTCCGCCAGGATCCCGCAGGGGGAAATGCCGAGGCCGGGGTTCGGGACCTAGAAATAGGTCAAATTCGAACCCCCCGGATACTGTATATACCACCGGTCCTATGGCCACGACATAGTAAATTGTCGAGACTATGCTCATCGTACCCGGCAGGACCCTCCAGGGATGGAAATGAATTGCCTCGGGCGAACAGGCCCCTACCTAGGTATGACAACCGATCTGGGCATGAAGAGGCCGCTCCCTGTCAAAGGGATGTTTCCCCGCGACGAAGGGAGCACGATGCAGAGAGGCCCAGGGAAGCGCGCAGACACTGAAGAAGTCGGCAAACTTAGGATGAGGCCCCTATCCACGAGGTGGATACCATTTTTGGAGGCCCATATGTAGGTGGCGAAACGCAGAACGCTAAAAGGAATTATGCCCGTGAGGCCAAGCGCCCTCTGCTTACCAGCTATATTGTGGGCCACAGCTCCCGGAGTGATCAAGTTCCACCTATTGTCTTCACCCAGGAGGACGTTGAAAGGGTTCACTACCCCCACTGCGATGCACTTGTGGTGAGAGTGGTCTAGCCCGGAATGGGCTCAAGTGAATGCTAGTTGACAACGGTAGCTTTGTCAACATCCTATTCGGGTTTACCTTCGACAAGATGATACTGGACCATGAGTTGACGCCCACCACTAATCCCTTGTACGGATTCACCGGAGATAGTATCATTCTGAGAGGAAAGATCACCCTTGTAGTGGAGATGGGGCAGTGTCCCCAAACTTTTTGGAGTTCCTCGTTGTTGACAATCGATCGGCCTACCGCAGAGTAATGGATAGGCCAGCTCTATAGGAATTGGGAGCCGTCACCTCCATCCACCACAAATGCATGAAATTCCCGACGGAAAATGGGGTGGCAACGGTGAGAGGTGACCAAAGAGGCTCGAGAGAGTGCTATCTAAGCTCCATCAAAAATGTAAAGCCCTGGGACGTCCACGTGATTATTGTCGACATAGTCATGGCTAATGTCTCAGGTGATGCTCCCTTCGAACCAGAAGATGTGGAAATGATCGACGCACCACCCATGCCGGAAATATCGATTATCGATGAGATTGACCCACGCATAATTGAATACGAACCTCAAGCATCCCCAGTTGAGGAACTTGAAAGCTTCTCGGTGAACTCCCGAGACCCATCCAAATTGTTGAAAGTGGGAAAAGGCTTGTCCAACAATTTAAAAGAAAAGATCAAGGATTTCTTAAGTAGGAACCTAGATGTCTTTGCTTGGAAGCATGAGGACATGGTAGGCATAGACTCCAAGGTCAGTTGCCACTACTTGAAAATTGATCCTAAGGTTGTCCCTCACAGATAAAAGAGAAGAGCCATTAACCCTGAGAGGTACGAGACCCTGAAGAAAGAAGTTCAGAAGCTCATCCAAAATGGCTTCATTAGGGAGGGCACCTATCCGAGGTGGGTCTCCAACCCAATTTTAGTGAAGAAATACAACGGAAAGTGGAGGATATGCATTGATTTCACTAACCTCAAAAAGCTTGCATGAAGGACAGCTTTCCACTCCCAAGGATTGACCAACTGGTAGATTCCACGGCTGGGCACGAGTTGTTGAGTTTCATGGACGCATACTTCGGCTACAACCAAATTCTCATGCACCCGACCGATGAGGAACACACCTCTTTTATCATAGATAGAGATCTTTACTGCTATAAGATGATGCCCTTCGGGTTGAAAAACGTCGGGGCCACATACCAAAGGCTTATCAATAAAATGTTTGTGGACCTCATCGACAAGACAATGGAGATCTATGTAGACGACATGCTTGTGAAAAGTATGGAAGCTGGGGACCACGTGACGCACCTCAACACCACCTTCCAAATTTTGAGAATGTATAGGATGAGGCTCAACCCCCTCAAATGCGCTTTCGGGATTGCCTCCGGAAAATTCTTAGGATACATGGTTAACCAACGTGGAATTGAAGCCAACTCTCAGAAAATTGAGGCCCCATGCAAGATGAGGTCCCTCCCCCAAAAGCCAAAAGAGGTACAAAGCTTGACTGGGCGAGTGGCCGCACTTAGTCGCTTCGTCTCCAAAGCTACAGACAAATGCCTCTCATTTTTTAAAGTGTTGAAAGCTGGGAAGAAGCTCCAATGGACCGAGGAATGTGAAGAGGCCTTCTAGCGCTTGAAAAGGCACCTAGGGCAGTCCCCCCTTCCTCTCCAAATCGAAGCCCGACGAGATTCTTCAGCTGTATTTGGCCGTCTCCAATGAGGCCATCAATGCAGTTCTAATCCGAGAAGAATGAACGACCTAACTTCCCGTATACTATACAAGTAAAGCACTACTATCACCGAAAACCCGTTACCTCGATATGGAGAAGCTCGCTTTGGCTTTGATCACGGCTTCCAGGAAATTGAGGCCCTATTTCCAAGCCCACACCATACATGTGCTAACAAACTTTCCCCTGAGGCAGGTACTTCAAAAGCCCGATGGCTTAGGAAGATTACTGAAATGGGTAGTGGAGCTAAGTGAATTTGACCTCGTGTTCAAGGCTAAGGTGGCCATCAAGTGCCAAGCCTTGGCTGATTTTATGGCAGAATTTGCCAATTTACCCGAGGTGGATGAAATCATGGAAAATGCCGAACCCCCTACGTGGAACTTGTTCGTGGATGGATCGGCTAGGGACACCGGTTCGGGTGCCGAAGTTGTCCTCATCAGCTCAGAAGGTCACAAGTTGAACTCAACTGTGAGGTTCGGGTTCAAGGTCGCCAATAATGTGGCAGAGTATGAGGCACTTCTTGCGGGCCTCAAGTTAGCCAGAGAAATGCAAGTGAAGAGGTTACTTATCAGTAGCGACTCCTAGCTAGTCGTTAGCTACGTACACGGCAACTTCTCGGCCAGAGACAAAACCATAGCCTCATACTTGAAAATGGTGATGAACCTCATCCCATCATTTGAAAAGTTTGAGTTGATCCAGATCCCTCGTGTGGAAAATGCACATGCGGACGCACTCTCCAAACTTGCAAGTAGTAAGGACTCTAAATTACTTACAATAGTCTCAAAAGTGCACCTCTTCGTACCATCAATCGAGGCCCCCAATGTGATGTGAGTTGCCGGGACTCCTACCTGGATGCAGCCCATCGTGGCTTACCTAAAGGGCCAGGTACTTCCCGCTAATAAGCAGGAAGCTTACAAGCTAAAGAGGAAGTTAGCTCATTTCCTCTTCATCGATGATATACTCTACAAGAGGAGCTTCTCCTCTCCACTCCTTCAATGCGTGGGAGGAGAAGAGGCTACCTACATCTTAAGGGAAGTCCACGAGGGAGTGTGCGGTAAACACTCTAGAGGTCTATCTTTGGCGTAAAAAATACTGATACTATTTGCCTACCTTGAAAAAGGACGCCCTCCAGTTTGTACGAAAATGTGACAAATGCCAACGATTCTCTCCTATTCAAAGACAACCATCGCAAGATTTGACTGCGGTTTTCAGCCCCTGGCCTTTCTCGAAGTAGGGTGTGGACCTTATAAGCCCTCTACCGAAAGGAAGAGGAGGCGCGAGCTTCGCAATTGTAGCTATTGATTACTTCACGAAGTGGGTTGAGGCTGAACCATTGGCAAAAATCATAGAGGCAAACACCTCCAAGTTCTTGTGGAAAAATATTATATGCCGATTCGAGATTCTCTATTCAATCGTCTCAGACAATGGTAAACAGTTCGACAACAAGAAGGTCAGAAGTTTATGTGAAGAACTTGGCATCAAGAAGTACTTTTCCACACCTTACCACGCACAAGCAAATGGCCAAGTTGAGGCTGTGAACAAAACCATCAAACATGTCTTCAAAAGGAAGCTTGATGTGTCAAAAGGGGCCTGGGTAAATGAGCTACCGCAAGTGCTTTGGGCAATCCGAACCACAACGAGGACCCCCACAGGGGAAACACCTTTCCTCATAGCATACAGAACTAAAGCAATGAGCCCTGTTGAGGTCGGACTTCCATCTCCCCGACGTCTGCACTTCAATGAAATAACAAACGACGAGCTCCGGAGGTTCGACCTCGACTTCATTGAAGAAAGAAGAGATGACGCCTAGCTGGCGCTCACCACATATCAAAGAAAGATGACGAAATACTTCAACTCAAGAGTGAATAAGAGATCATTTTGAATCAACGACCTGGTCCTTAGGAGAGTCTTCCTCTCCTCCAAGGAACCAGGCACCGGTACCTTGGGTCCGAATTGGGAAGGCCCGTATAAAATCAAAGGGGAGATCCAACCTGGGACATACCGGATCAAGGACATGGACGGCAAGACACAACCCCATCCATAGAACATTGAGCATCTTCGAATCTATTATCAATGAATGTACTACCTCGCTAGACGATCTTTCCCAACTCATGTAACATTTCCATGATTCAATAAAATTATCCATGATTGAACTCATCTTGCACTACGTCGTCACCTTGGATGAGAGGTCAGCGCCCCCATCTCTAGGCTACCTCGCTTGAACTCCGAGGCTCACGTTACTTGCCTCCCTTTGGCGAGGCTGAACGCCATTGGGAGAAGCCTCAACATGGATGAACCATCCACCATGTTGGGAAGCATTGTCACCTCGGAAGAGAGGTCAGCATCCCATCTCTGGGCCACCTCACTTGAATTTCGAGGCGCACGCCACTTGCCTCCCTTTGGCAAGGCTGAATGCCACAAGGAGAAGCCTCAACATTGATGAACCATCCACCATGTTGGGAAGCGTCGTCACCTCGGAGGAGAGGGTCAGCGCCCCATCTCTGGGCCACCTCGCTTGAACTCCGAGGCTCATGTCACTTGCCTCCCTTTGGCGAGGCTGAATGCCACAGGGAGAAGTCTCAACATGGATGAACCATCCACCATGTTGGGAAGCGTCGTCACCTAGAAGAAGATGTCAGCGCCCCATGTCTGGGCCACTTCGCTTGAACTCCGAGGCTCACGTCACTTGCCTTCCTTTGACGAGGTTGAACGCTACAGGGAGAAGCCTCAATATGGATGAACATCCACCATGTTGGGAAGCGTCGTCACATCGGAGGAGAGGTCAGCGCCCCATCTCTGAGCCACATTGCTTAAACTCCGAAGCTCACGTCACTTGCTTCCCTTTGGCGAGGCTAAACGCCACAGGGAGAATCCTCAACATGGATGAACCATCCACCATGTTGGGAAGCGTCGTCACCTCAAAGGAGAGGTCAGCGCCTCATCTCTGGGCCACTTCGCTTGAACTCCGAAGCTCACGTCACTTGCCTCCCTTTGGCGAGGCTGAACGCTACTGGAAGAAGCCTCAACATGGATGAACCATCCACCATGTTGGGAAGCGTCGTCACCTCGGAGGAGAGGTCAACGCCCCATCTCTGGACCACCTCGCTTGAACTTCGAGGCTCACGTCACTTGCCTCCCTTTGGCGAGGCTGAACGCCACTGGGAGCGGCCTCAATATGGATGAACCATCCACCATGGTGAGAAGCGTCGTCACCTCAGAGGAGATGACAGCATCCCGTCTATGGGCAACCTCACTTGAACATGAGGCGCACGCCATTTGCCTCTTTTTGGCAGGGTTGAGTCACGGGAAGAAGCCTCAACGAGGATCGAACTTCTTTTTCCAGGTTCACAAGGCCCAACCACTATGGGCTTTAGGCAACTCAATCAGACATAGCAATGTTCTTAGTTCAACTGGAAGACGGTCCAATATTAAGGTCTATTCAGGTCACAGTTATTAAGCTTAAGTATAATTTACTTGCTTAAGTCCAATATCATTCATGGTTCGTGTGGCTTGAGTACAATCTACTTAAGTGATTGGAGTTGGGATATCAAGTCAAGGTTATTAAATTCGTCAATCAATCTTAAGTGTGATTACTTAACGAGGCCAATGCACTTGGAAGAACAACATTGAATGAAAAAGATTATATTGATTTTCAATGTTACAAAAGGAGGGCCTGAGGCCAGTATATCAAAATTAATTGAAAAATAAACTATCCTAAGCCTCAGATGATAGCGGAGGTGCCTCGATAACAGGATCCTCCGTAGCTTGAGGATCAGAACTCTCTTTTGCCTAATCCCCAACCGCTTCATTAGCTGGAGTTTGAGGCACTTCATCCACAAACTCCTACCTCAGCTGTGATAGGTCTTGATTTGGGAAAAGTTCCTCTTCCCTCTCCATCATTTCAGCGTAGGCATAATTCCTCCGGTAGACGATGAAGCTCTTGTACTCCTTAGTGTTGTGGAAGTTAGCAATGTAATCTTTGACTGCCTCCTCTCTCGCCACATTGGCCTACTCCCTTACCTTAGCCATTTCGTCCACATACAATTTTATTTGGCCCTCCAAGAATTTGTATGCATCTTGGGCCTCGGCTAGGTGCAGATTGGCTTTCTCCAAGGCCTCAGCAGTTACCTTTTGGTGGTCATTGGAGACTTCCACTTTCTTGGTAAGGGAAGCCACCTCGCATTGGGACTCATAAACCTTTTTCTTCAAGGCCTCGATCTGGGACAAAGCAGACTCCAACTTAGCCGCATCTTCTATTTTTTGGGCCCTCGCTTTCTCTGCCTCGGCCCTGGCCTTCTTCAGCTCCTCTGTGAGAGAGGACACCTTCTTCTTCGAGGATTGGGTCCTCGTCTGAAATCAGTATGGGCCTCCCTGTACTCCAATGCGAGGCCAAATATCCTCACACTTTGGCTCACAAGAGCCCTTCTCAGGTCCACCGCGTCGCAGGAAGAGGCGTGCAACTGCCACCGGTCTGTCCAAAATTTATTAAAGCTTCGGATCTCGGCTGGTAGAGCCTCTTCCAACGTTAGGGCCAGGACATCCTCCCTCCCAGCAAGGAAGTTCGGCGACTTCCCTTGGACTCTTGTGGGCTTTTGCTTGGCAACTTCATCATTTGCCTTCTCAACAGCCCTCCTCGCCGCAGCATCCTCAGCCTCGGCACGCCGCACCATTTCAACCTTCACGGCTTTGGAAGCGGCTTCCAGGAGCTTTGGCTGAGGGGTTTCTTTCCCGTCGTGGGACACAGAGGTCCCGAACTTCCCAGATGAGCTGGTGACGTGCACCAGCTTCCTCTTATTCGGCTCCTTGAAGACCTTCTCCTTTTCCCGAGGCTCCTTGGTCTTCTCCGATCTCTGAAGGGCACCCTCCTCAGCAGCACTGGAACTGCTTTCCTTGGAGAGTCGCTCAACCCTCCCCCAAACCTCCTTTGCACCACTTGACCCTCGCTTCAGGGGCCTCTTCGACACGTTGGATGTGGCCCTAAGGATAGAGGCCATGTCCGGGGCTGGGTGATCCCTCTTCTTGAACTTGTCTGCAAACCAAGTCAGTGCATCAGCATCAGAACAAAAAGTAAGAAATGCACAAGTATACAAGCCTCTTACCTTTAGAGGCCATCAATTCAAAATCAATGAAGTAGCGGCTTCGGTCGATGAGGTGGTCAAAGTGCCGAAGTTTAAGATGTCTTTTGTAAATGTCCTCTATCACTTTAAACTCCTCCTTGCTCAACTCGAACCTCGTACTGCTATCTACACAACAAGCCTCAACAGTTAGAAAAATAAAATTTGGAATACAGAACATAGACTACTTAGCCTAGGAGACTCACGAGCTTCGTAGTACTGGGTTGGTGCTGTGCAAGCCAAGGCTGTGTCCCCCTCCACTACCTACCACTTGCCCCTCACCCAGAACCACGATTCTTTCTACCCCTTGATGGAAGAAGGCAGCCCTACCACAAATGGTGCGTGAGCCTCCCAAGGAGTTAAGTAATACCATCCCGTTGACTCCTTACCTATCACCCTAGGCTGGAACAGGGTCATGAAGACGTGGAGAGGCATGTCCTCCCCAAGTGATACTTCCTTCCACAGGAAGTACGAGCTAACCAACTGTCTCCACCCATTTGGCAAAACCTGGGTCGGCGACAACATAAAGTTCCTCAGCACCGCCCCAAAGAAGGGGTGCAGAGGAAGACGCATACTTGCCTTAAACAGGTATTCACTCACTGCCACACACCCGGGCCTTGGATAGCAGGTGCGCTCATAAGCCTCAGGTACCAACATTTCCACATAATGAGGTACATAGTACCTCTCCCTGATTTCCACCAGCCTCTTCAAAGTCATATTTGAAAGCACTCTGGATGCTCCCCACTCCTCACTGTAATTTACTGGCCCTCGGTCATAGTTTATTGCTCGACCTTGGGGTCCCCTCTGTGACTTGCCCCCTCGCTGAATGACGCAATTGTTACTAATTCCCTATTCAAGGTGGACTCTATATCAGAATGAACTCAATGCAAAGGATTTTCTGTGAAAAAACCTCTGGGAAATGACTACGCAAGCGGAGTAATGTCGAAAAATAAAAAGATCGATTGTTTAGACGCCGGAAAACTGGAGTTTTTTAGGAAATCAGATTGTAAAGAATGAAAATCCAGAAAATTGGGGGGTCTCTCGCCTTTTATAAAGGGCCAGAACGAACTCCAACTGTCTAATCAAAGCCCATTGAATCTGAACCCTTCATTCTAAACCAAATTCGAGGCGTAGAATTCAAACAATTTTTCAAACCTACGCTTGAGATTCAACCGTGTCCTCCACGCATCTCCCCAAACGCGTCTGCTTCTAGAAGCTCCAGCTGTGCTCATAATTACGACTTTAATTCGACGGCAGCTGATGCCTTGGAAGTTGAACGGTCCAGCCACCTTTCCTCGAAAATATGCGTAAAATATCAAACCATTGGCGCAACTGTCAAGGAATAATCATTACCAATGAGCCTCAAATTCAGCCATAGCAAGCCTCGCGGGTTCGATTTCTCAACCACCTCGGCTTCTTCGTCTCAATTTAGCCATAACAAGCCTCGCGGGTTCGATTTTCTCAACCATCTCGATTTTTTCATCACAATTCAGCCATCACAAGCCTTGTAAATTCGGTTTCTTAATCACCTCGGCTTCTTCATCACAATTCAACCATCACAAGCCTATTTAGGTTCGGTTTCTCAACCACCTCGGCTTCTTCATCACAATTCAACCATCACAAGCCTATTTAGGTTCGGTTTCTCAACCACCTCGGCTTCTTTATCATTCATTCACAACAGCACATTTCTAACTCC